TGGAAATCTATTCCTCTCTGATTCGCAGATCTGGTTAAGATCAAAGATTCGGAGTATCCCCGCTCGTTTGTGAACGCGTCGAGTGCCGGTCGCCTCGGGAAATACACATCAGTCGATGGTGAAATGTCGAGTCACGAGGATAGCTCGATCGGTTCCGATAGCGAGGACGATCCGATCGAGACATGCACGCGACGGGACGAGAGCAGAATCGACAGGTCACGATCGAAAAACAACAGCCCGCTTGCGCGTCCCTCGTCTTTCTCGATGGACGAGTCCTCGAGGAAATCGGGAAATTCGAGGGAGATCCACGATCAAGATGTGACGGAGGAGGACGTTGAGGAGGATTTCTGTTCGGGACGAGTGGAGAGACAAGTTGGTAATCCTTTTGAAAATGTGACTTATTCTTTAATACAACATACCTGCTGATTCCTTATCTTTTTGTAAATATATTATCCAATTTATCGTCTTAAATAATATTATCACTTCGTAAGTGAATTCGTTTACTTTGTACTCGTGCCGCGATCATAATCAATTTTACAAATGATACCGAATGGAACCGAATTTCCTTGAATTTCCCCGTAAATAAAACGATCGCCTTCGCAGAGGGACGAGAGCATGCGTGCAAACACACGCAATGAACTTTATTCTTATTGATATGTCTTTGGAAACGTATTAAACATTCTTAGATTAATTATTTCCAATCATTAGAACGATTTGCCGGCTAGACGAACGATTACCTTGAATCAGAACTGTACCACCACATGGTCGCGATTACATCTGGCGAGATCTATTCCGTTATTTCCGATAGGAAAAATAATATTTTCTCTAGAAGCAAAACGTCAAGCGTGTGTGTGTGTGTAACACAGTTCAGGGAAATTTGAAATAAAGCGTAACCGGGATGCCTTTGCCTGAAATTCTTCTTTCGGTCTCGAATCACGTAATGGGATATTTATAGAGAAAGAGACGAAAAAACGCTGAAAACTTGATGTCTATTTAAGAAACGAAACGATATTCTTTCAAAGCAAATATGTATATGTACACGTGTATCGTTCGATATCCGACAGAAATGTTTCGCCGCGAGGAGATCTTTGTCGGAAGGAGACTGCGAGCGATATCATCGTGCGAAACGTCGTTGCAGATGCGTCAGAGGAGAAGAGGAATCTTTCAACGAAGAACGGGAGAAATTCCCAGCTTTTCCTAGCTTTAACGACACTAGGCTGCAGATCATGGGATTATCGTGCTCCAACGACATAGACAGCGTATACAGGTAGTAGTAGTTCTTTTTTTTTTTAAGTTACCAATAATGGTGTACATTGCCATTATTGGAAGATGCATTTCCAAATTTAGATTGATCCTATTCCTTTCTCTCTGTTGCCTGTTTTAGGGAGAATCTACCGGAGAACGAGCTCGAGGTTAATATCCCTCTATTCCACACAACGTTATTACAACGAGTAGTTCATGAATTGACTTTTCAGTCTTTATAAATGTCTGTCTCCCCCTTAATTTCAGCGCAAATATATTGCGTTTTCGATAGGACTTGGTACGGACAGGATCACTCTACATCAGAGGATGATATTGTCACTTCGTCAACGGGACCAGTCGGAACGAAATTTCATGGAAGAAATTAAAAAAATGCAAGAAGATATAAAGGTACTGGTAATCTGTCATTGTCGAGCGTGTCTCCTTTTTTTAAGTATACTCACCAAGTTAAAAGTACTAACGAAAATACATCAGTTTCGTTATTCTACATTTATATTCATACAAATACAAACATATTTCTATATATTATATTATTTATATAATATATTTAAATATATTATTATTTGAATATATATTTGAATATATATATATATTTATATTATTATATTATTTATATTAATATATTATATTAATATATTATTTATATTTGAATATATATATTTCTATATATAATATTTTAATATATTATTTATATAATATATTTGAATATTTATATTTCTTATATAATATATATAGAAATATATTTCTATATATATTATATATATGTATAGAAATATATATCTATATCTATATTTATAAGATATATCTGTATCTCTATTTATAAAATATATATCTATATATATTTCTATATATATTTCTATATATTATATATTTATATAAACATTTCTCATTATTCTGCACTTGGAAAAGAATTTGATACGTTTCAAAATTGATTATATCAATTATATTAATTGATATCACTTGCTGTTTTTTCGTTGATAGAGTCTGTGCCTACTTTGCACAGATCAAGAGTCGATAGACAAAGTGGAAAATATCCGTCACCGGTTGGACATGATAACACGGTCCGCACACAGAGTTTCTTGTGCTGCTGAAACACTCGGAGCTGTATATCAAGAGCACAGAATTTCTCGTGCAATTTTTATAGGTGACAAGTATCTGCAGTTACTACGATCCAGATGTGAAAATCTGGCGGCAGACATCGCAGACGTCAAGTAAATATCGTTTCTTGAAACTTTCCTCCTTACGTTTTTTCATAATAAATCTCCTCCTGTTGAGAAATGTAATATCTGCCGTGCGAAAATAAATTAAAAGCCATCGTTTTCCAGGCAAATATTGTTGAAGAACAACATCATGATAGAAGAAACCGGAGAGATGGGGGATGATTTACCTAGACTTCGATACAGAAATGGATTACCATGCAACAATCGAACAATGGTTTGATGAAAATCTATATCAGGCAATGCTGCATGCGAAACGTGAAATTGATTAATTCTTTCTTGATTGATTTTTATTTGCAGATGACTAGAAGAAGAGCGAGCATCGCTACGATTTCGCGACCCTTGAGTTCACAGGACGTGATAAAGGCAATATTTTTGTCATATTAATGCTGTCCGAGCTATCTATAACTCCTGCATTAAAATGAGTGTAAAAAAAACTGCAGCTTAATGAGAAATTTTTATCCTTTTTATGTCCAGGAAATTCCTAGGCAACGTAACTCTGTTTCCGGCAGAGTTAATTTGAGACGACCATCACTATGCTTCGAAACGCAGAGGTGGGAAAACGAAAAATTAAATCGAACGGAGTTTGTACTATTTTCTTATTTTCCCTTGTATAATAGTAGAATAATATATTCTAATGGATAGGGAAGAAAAATCAAGAAAATATTTCCTTGTTTCAGCAGTGCAAATAGTGTGGTAGAACTACGAGATATCTTCGAGCAAACTGAGTCGAGAAGGAACTCCGTTGAAGAAAATAACAATCTTTTAAGAAACAATCAAAGTGGTATCGTTAGTAACATAAATTGTGACATCGCTAGCAATGCGAAAGACAAAGATCGACTGATCATCAAACAAAATTCTTTCTTGGAATCAAGTGTAACTAACACTGTTGAGAAACAATTAAAATCATGGTAATTATTCATTTAATAAAAAATGCTATACAATCAAATAGAAAATAAACAAAGAAATATATTAGTCCACGCTTAATACTTAAAATTATAATGAAACGTAAAAATTTATTAGAAATCATTTAATGTTTATTAAATATGTTGTTTTCAGTATACGAACAACTGAGCCTTTGCGAATAACTAGAAATATCGAAACATGGCGGCCGATTTTATGGTTTACATTTATCTTCTTTCTCGGATTTTATGCCAAACAAATTACTTTGACATTTGTTACGTAGTGTGTTAAAAGGTTTCAATAGTAAAATTTAGCATTTTTGTGTTATGGTGTTGCAGTATTAAAGATATATTTTATATTAGTGTAGTAATATTTTCAAGGAATAATAAAAAGACGTAATTTACAAATATATCGTATTTGATATATTCTCTTTTCTGTATATTACAAATTATTCACTGTTCCAATGCACACGAGCGAGTTGTTTTTATTATAATAACCTAAAGAAAGTATGCTCGAGCAGTAAGTTGAGAATATCTGTGGTGACTCTGTTTCAGGTACTAAATTTGATGAATTGCTGTAAAACAATGCAATCAAGATATAATTTCACAGTATCAAAAATAAATCTCTTTTCAACTTTCATCATTAAAAATTACCTATTAACAGTTTTAATGTAATCATGCGTAGGCCATAAACGAATAGTGCCGTCCAAACTTCCACTGGCAATGTATTGACCATCAAAACTCCAATCTAAATTCATAATCGTATCTTCGTGGCCTTTAAGTTCAGTCAACAATGCATTAGTTGCTAAATCCCAAATAGAAATAGACTTGTCATCACCTAAAATAAAATGTTAATTAATGAATTACAAAATTAATAACATAAAATATGTATTCGAAAACGAAATATTAACATTAATTGTATGACCTGCAGCTGCCAAATATTTCCCATCTGGACTAAAAGCTAAACTATAAATCGTTGACTGTGCGCCGATATATACTCTTAATAAATTTCCATCATCTTTATCCCATAATCTTACAGTCTTATCAGCAGACCCAGTTGCTAAATATCGAGCATTTGGGTGAAATTTGACACACTATAAAATAATATAAATTAACACATAAATTAAATTTTCATCTTTTTTTACATATCTTTTTAAAATATATTAATTCTTGAGTATAAGTAAAAAGAATAATTCTCGTTTTATTTGAAATACACACATTTATATCTAAGAAGTGGCCAGCAAATATGCGTAATGGAAATATCCTATCTAAAGACCATAATTTGGCAGTTCTGTCATGAGAACCAGTTGCTACGTATAGATTAAATACACTAAGATCCATGCACCATATAGGATAATTGTGACCACTGAAACAAATTACAATTTTAATAATAATTACAGTTCTATATTGTGAAATTTCGTGCATAATTAATATAAATACGTACCTATAAATTGCGGCACATGTGTAATCATTAAGTCTCCATGCCCTCATATCTTTATCACTAGATACAGAAAGTAAAATATCCGATTCTGGAATAAACCTTAAGTCATGTACAATATCCGTATGACCTCTAAGTATCACTGCCCCTCCTTCAGTCCTTGAGATGTAAAAATATAAAATTTTATATTGTTTTATTTGAACACAATGAGCTATTACAATGTGTATATTGAAATTTAAAGAAATTTGTAGAGACTTACGTTCGATCCGACGTATCGTAAAATTTATGTAAAAATGGAATATCGGAAGCAAACGTGAAGGAAGGTTCTTCATACTTTGGCTTAATTAATACTGTTTCATTTATACCCCACAACCTTATCTCTGTTGTACTAAATCCTACTGCTAATTTGTCCATATTTGGTGGAATTACACCACTACTTGCACTATAAAGAAAAGATAGATATTTTATATGACTTTTGCAATTTTCTAATTTTTACTATATTGACCTCGAGCAAAATTATTTTGTATGTAAATAAATCCCTATGTATATAATTACTTTTCAACAGCATTATTTACTGCAAATATTCGTAGAGGTTGATGAGCATTATTTCGAATTAATCTTATAGCTTCTTGCAATTCTCTCATTTCACGATCAGTTCCAGTACCTGGTGGTTGCTCTACATATCCATTAATTCCTACTTCAGAACGTATGCTTGCTTCCTCACATCCTTCTGTGTCTGTTTCAGACACATCCATTTTCTTAATTATTGTCACATGAGTGTTTATTATCTAAAAATAAAAAGTTATGTATTATTAATTAAAATGAATATTTATATAAAGATAATAATTTTACACATATAACATTCAATACAATATGACTTTACTACCTGCATTAATATTATGTGTCCATGTTTGGAGAGAAATTGTTGAAGACATAAGTGAGCAATATCTGACATATCCACTTTATATTTTCTAGTTCTAAATGAATTAACTAAAGGTCTTAATTCAATATCTTGCACTGAGAATATACTGGACAATTCTTCTAAAAAGTCTTTCTCCGTTTCATTGTTGAATTCATTCTGATGTGACTTTAAAAATTGAATTGCTGCTTGTTTGTTACCAGCATGTAGCATCTCTAAATACAAGTGACAAAATACGGGGTATAAAAGTCCTCTTAATTCCATTTTTAATTTATCATCGAGTACTATATTTACCCACATCTTTAACCTGAAGAAAATGTGTATTTTTAAAACAAAGTCAACAAAGATTGATTTAACATCTTGCAACAGCTAAGAAATATTTAGAAAGGGAGAGACATACCGTTGATATGCTTGATCTGCAGCTGTAACATCAATGCTAATGGCACTAAAAATGATTGAATTATCTTGGGATGTGGCACAAGCAGCAGTTGCATTGAGAGTCATTTCATCACTTGTTCGGCAATGTATTTGATTGCCTTTACAGAAAAGGTCGGTAGTCTATAATTGATATTTGAAAGTAGCATGAGGTTATGTTATATTTGTTCTAGGTAATTCAACTTTAAATAAAATTTATGAAATAAAAATAAAAACATAACATGCCTGATAATGACGTCGTTTTAAATATGATTCAATTGTAGCATTAATTAATTCGCTCTTCAAACGTTTCATCTTTTGGAAATTATATGTTCATTACATTCAAAAGTTTTAAAAGATCCAACCATAAAAAAGATGTCAAATAACAAAAATCATTGAAAGTACGTAGATTTAATTATTCAAAAAATCAAAAGAATGCAATAACATATTTTGTCAAGAATCAACAAAATAGACATCGGATAACCGTTGTTATTACGTATATTTTCATTAATGAAGTATATTGAAATTTGAATAAAAATTCAACTGATAATATTCAGCATATTGTTTTCATTACTACTTTTTTTAAACTTTCATGTTTTTATTCAATCTTGTTTGTAACATATAGATCTATAAACAAATAGTTGCCGCCCGTCAGTCATTCTGAAAATACACAGTCAAAAACATCTTTCCCCTAGAAAATTCCTCATGCTTGAATTACTAGAGCACGTGTTTCTAATTTGTGCATAAATATAAAACTATTAAATCTTCCATTAGTATTTAGTATCAAGCATCACTATATCTGTATGTACACAAATTCAAATATCTTATTAATAAATTTAAACATAAAACTTCCGAAATATTAAATAGCAATTAATACTGTATAGAGACATTTAACACTTTAATTTTAACTAGGAATTAGGAATAATTTCAACTCAAAATAAATACCAGTTTCAAATATAATTAAAATATTTATTTATAGAAATTTAGTTTTGCATAATATAAATGCTGTTTCATAAGATCTTCTTGGCTTTTAAATGGTACAATAATATTTGAGTTTAATGTTGACCTAAAAAACGTGTACATTGTTATTATAATATCGAAATTGATACACAAAAAATATACAATATTTATATTTGCAGTAATATTTTTTAATTATCCGCAATATCTATTATTTTACTGTTTATGATAAAATTAACTTTGTATTATTAAAATTAAAGAAAAACTTACAAATCAGAACACAACAAATTTAAATCCTGAGGTATAAAGTACCGCATATGTGGAGACAAATCAACAAATGGATCATTATCATTTTCAAAATTGTCAAATTCTTTTAATCTGCAAAATATAGAAAAATAGTACTAGTTTGACTAAAAAAAATAGTTTGATTAAAAAAAAAAAATAGTAACTGTAAAATTTGTACTAACCGTACAATAAAATGCTTAGGTTTATGTAACATTGATTGTTCATTATTACGTTTAGATAAATTAAATATTGTAGGAAATACTACATCACGAAAATCGCCATTTTTTACAAAACTATATTGTTCTGAATTTTTAATAAAAGAATTTTTATTTAATCTTTGTGTAATTAATGAACGCATTATTGGAGTATCTATCCAAACAACACGACATTCTTTATAGAGCATTTCTGCAAACCAATCAAAAGCACCAATCTCAGCCACATAATTCCACTCTATTCCATCATACCAATCATGTACCTGTAAATTGTAAAAAGTATTATAGTTACTGATATTGCATTCTAAGAGAAAAACATATTAGTAGTACATTACTAATCTTTGTAGTCTTTTTTAAATTATGCATTATTCTAAACAACTTACAACACACCGGCAAACTCGGTTAAGTAATCCACGAAAATCTGCCATTAATGCCATAAACGATTCAGAACCTTTAGGATATAGCAATATAATATCTGTGTTTACAACATTGTTGTTTTTACATTTTACTTTTTTCTTATAGTCTATCGAGGTATACATGCTTGATTTCATACATTTAGTTTCATTAGTTTTAAGAGTGTTCCTATTCAAACTATTTGTATAAAAACTTTTCTTTTGTATATTACAAAAACGTGTGATGTAGATGAAATACATAATAATTGCAAATACAGTTAATGTAATAATAGTGATTGGTAGGTACAAATGAGAAACTGTATCAGAATTAATATTAGTTTGTATTCCAAGATTATAAATAGTAATATTTTTACAGCCTGTAAACAAAACATTCATTTTTTATCATATATAATACGATAATATCAATTTACTTACTTTGGTACCAAAAACATTTATCAATGGGTTTCCATAATGGGTATCCTTTACATCTTACATCACGATATGAAAATGAAATACAATAATTTGCCTTTTGTGAAATTTCAGTTTGGAATGTCAAATTTCTTTTATATATTTCATTCATTAGCTTATAATCAAATATAACAAATTTTAGTTACATAAAAATATGTTAGAATAATTAAGATATAATTGAGATATATTAAATATTGGACTTACCAAAGTTGTATTAAAATCATGATTTTTATTTCCTAAATATTCATCCTAAAAATCATATATGAATTTTACATAAATTTAATTTATATGAATTTAATATATACACAAGATATATGAAATATCATCTCTTTTTTTCTCAATATAGTATAGTATTAAAATTTTTACCAAAACATTAAAACTCCAGACATCATTTGAAAATTCTTCATTATTAAAAGAACAGCTTTCATTCCCAGATGGATCATACCAAAGTGTGCCCAACTTTATTATTCCAGCTGTAACCATAGGTTTATAAAGGTGTACCTCAAGATGTCCCATTTTTCTACCACATAAATAAAATTTAAATTACCACATTTAAATAAAATTCTAATCTTTTAAATAATACAAAAAATATTAAACAATTCTTATTTTCTTTTTAAATATTCTATTGTCCAGTCTATAAATCATAATGTAAACTTACTTTTCTATATTATTGGGAAAAGTATTGTAATCATATGTACATTCTAATATTGGTTTCATGATTTCTGTTTGTATGTATTTAGTTTTTATGAATTTGTTATGCTTTATCATTGTTGCATCTTTAACAAAAAAAAATTGAACAGAATAACATGCTGTAAATATATATGGAACGAGAATTCTAGTAGTATTCTAAAAACAAATAAGAGATGTTAAATCTTTTAAAAATTAATTTTACAAAAAATTAAAAATTAAATTTATTACCTGATATTGTTCCTCATCTGGAATAAAACATATGGTACTTCTAGTATGAGTTTCAGTTCCATGAGAATTGTGAAATTTATAATTCATACATTTTGTTTCACTAATTGATGGATTTGCTAACAAAGTTAATACATATTTACATATATTTTTTGGCGGTTGAAGATTAATTTGTAAAATAGCTGTGAAAAATTAAAAATATCATTTTTTCAATTTTATATGATAAATGAATTTTATTAAAATTTAATTGACTATTATTCTTTATAGTATATACTTATTAGTATATAGTATGTATATTGTTATTTACCAAGAGATTCAAAAGCCTCATTTTGATCTTCTATCATTGAAAAGTTAACATCAGTGAATATATCTTCATTTGCACAATATTTTATAGGAATATGATTTTTCGAATTACTTGTCGATCTTTTGCAGCCATCATTGTCACAAATATACTGTAAACAAAGAAATTTTGAATAAAATATGACAAAAAGCTCTTAATTTTAATCATGTTAATAAATGAGTGATGAATGTATAGCGATAAAGGTAAGCTCAAATAATATATTTAAATTTAAATATTTATTGATCTTATTTCTCGATACTTACATCACATCCAAAAGATAAACATATAAATACCATTAAGAATGTAGTTATCATATAACCTTTAAGCATAACTGAACTTTCACAAGTTTCGGAGTATTATATTGAAAAATTATATAGCTTTGGTTTATAATTAAATATTCAAATCTACTATGAATATAATTACGATCTCATGATCATAATTTGTGATTTTTAATACTATATTTCCTTTAATACGCACTTTTTAGTGCAACATATTTTGTCACATTGATGTGACAGGGAAATGTAGCAGCGACAACAATCTATAAAAATAAAACAATTTGTTTGTTGTGTATATGTATGTAAGTATATATACACGTGCGCGCTATACAAGCGTTTGTTTAAATTATGTTAAGAATGTCGCAGTGGTGGTAAGTTAAATTTTGAATTTGAAAGAAAGATAAAAAGAAACTCTAGACAAACTCTAGACAAAAAAATTAAATGATATATTAATGATTTTTCTATAATATTACTTTTGTATGTAGCGATGCGAAATATATTTTTTTTTATACTTTGCTTTTATAGATTGAATCATCGCGTTCTATGTAAAATCGATGGTCGAAAAATTTTTACATAAAATTATATAAAAAGATTTGTGCTTAAATATTACAAACAACAACAAATGTGCTTAAATATTACATTGTACTCAATAGAAGAGAAAAGGAGAACAAAACAGAAAGAAAAGATTTTTAAATTTCATTATTGTTATATTTTACATTTCACTGATTTTATTACATATCTTTTGATCTTTTTGTAATGAAATTAAAATTTTATATAAGTAGAATATAAAACTAATGTGATGTAAACAAGTTAGAAGCATATTAAACTCCGATATACATTCGTATACCATACGATCATATATATCTACATATGTATATGTATGTAAGCGTATGCATTTAACAACGCAGTTGTTCTTCAAATTATGTACATTTTCTAATACTTGGTGGTCATAAGATTATTCATAATAAATATTATATAATTATATTGTATATATGTAATTAATAAATCATATACGTTATGAAACAAGTTTTCTGCAGAAACGGTACAACATAAAGAATTAAAAAAACCATAGTCTAATTATACATCTTATACTTTAAGATATCTCTTTTTTTTTAGGATGAGAAATAACGCGATAAATTAATAAAATTCATAGAATGTACGAAGTGATCAGAAAGCAAAATATTGCAAAAAAAATTATCTGTATATACCTTTCACAGCCTATCTTACTGTAAATTAATTTTTGAATCTTTTTAAAAAAGCGAGATATTGATGCTGAGCAAACAAACTCATGTTACTACTCATTTGCGTATGAAGTATAGTATAACATACTGTTAATGAAACTTATATACTATGATAAAAATTATACAAAATGGGAGGATTTAATACTAAAAGATATTTATCGAGTGTAAACCAGTTTTTAAAATCGAGCTCAATACTCATTGTTTGAATCGTTTGATTCTTTCAATACAGATAAACCTGCATCGCGTAAGAAAATCGACTTTGAAGCTTCTTTCTAGGAAGAAATAGATCCTATTCCATATATACTACATACAAAGAATTCTTAAGAAACTAGCAATATAAACCATTTCCTTGATTCTCAATCACATATTTTTGTAAATACTGTGCAGTTTTTTCAGTTAAACCAAGATTGGGTAACTCTTTTGCAAATTGTTCGATCGTTCCAGCACCAGCGATGTAGCCATTTAATTTAGCAGCTAAAGGTGAATTTCGAAGAACTTCGTCGCTGGTGAGACCGGTAGTTTCGATTAACCACGGGTGATTTCGAAGTCGATATTTCTGATGATAACTAAAAGAAAAAAAAAAAGAAAAATGAATTCATCATTTAAAAATAATAAAAATCACTTTTAGCTATCTAAACATTTTTAGCTCATTCTCTTGTCTAAAGTAGACATGGTCAATATTCAGACTAATAAAAATAAATTAATGGAACTCGTGTAACAGTGTAAACTGAAAGAGTGGATCGATCTAAAATCACTTTTGTATATTTTTACAAAAAAAAAAAAAAAAATTGTTATAACGCATGATTCTTACTCCTCGGCGGGGTAAAACTTCTCAAACTTCCTTATTTCAGTGAGAATCAAATCGGTACGCTTTCGCTGTTCTTGTTCACGCGACTTTTCAGCTATCAGTTTTTGTTCTTCATCATGATACAAAATCAACGACATATACTGAAACATGAATAGAAACATGATCATTTTTTTTTTTTTTTTT